GAGATGCAGCCTCTCTCTCTGATCAGCTCCAAATTGGAGCTCGATTCCCCTACCCTCCCAACCTAACAGCTAACGTCTATTGGGTCAGGAGAATCAGTCTAACTCATGGTGCTTTCTGTGAAGCACCATGACAGAAAGCACCATGAGTTAGACGGGGAAGCTGCACTTCTGCCTGCACCTTTCCTGTAGTTGATAGTGCACAAGGGAATCATGTGGCTATTATCACATCTGGCCACCTTTGATACCTCAGCTTGAATTATTAGGCTGGACATGTGTAGTTAGATTTAGCACTGGTGGTCTTTGATATGTCTGAAGCAAGGCTCAAACTTTCACCTCTAAAACTGTAATGAGTCATTTTAAGCAGTGTAACAGGGAGACAGTGCTCCCATTACTTTAAGGGAGAAGCAGCAGCAGGGAGGTCCCCAGATGTGGGGAAACGCTACCCATTATGGGCTGGCTGCAGAGGAGGAGGCAGCCAGGGACTCATATCTTATAATTGCCTATTGCTAGGCCTATTGCTAGGCTTGGGCAGCTGGTGCACTGCTAAGGCAGCAAGAGAAGAAACTCAGGCTGCCCTGGAAGCTAGCTGTCAGGTCCCAAGAGAAAACCCCTGTGGGTGGCTGGGGAGCCATTGGACCGGAAGGGGCAGGGCTAAGGAGGCATATAAGTCCAGGGCCTGAGCCGGAGCAGGAAATCTGGCTCTGCAGGCAGCAGACAGAGTTGCTCCCAAGCAGGATGGCTAAAGGAGAGGGAGTGCTTAGCACTTGAGCTGGTGACTGCAAGTAAGAGGCTTGTATGGAGTAGTGGGGGCATTTTAGTTACAGCCAGTGGGCTTATGTTTTTGTTTAACTTTTACATTGGTGGACTGGATGTGACTACAAGGAGTGACTAGGGCACATTGAGGTTTAAGCTACAATGGGGTGCCTATTGCTATAGGAACAGAAAGAGGCCACAAATCGCTCTTAAGGCAACAGGTACCCTGGGGCACAGATTGCCAGGAGGGCCCACTTTGCACTTGAGGGGAGGACTGGACCCAGTGGAGTCTGAGAGGACCTGCTGGCTGGAGGATGGATAAAGGCTTGCTCTGGGACCCTAGGGCAGCTTCCCTTTTACAAATACATGAAGTACATCAAGGCATAGCAGGCGAGATAAGAGGGAGGATGTCCAGGGAGCCTAAGTGGGACAGGCACTAGGGGGTGTTCACAGCTGCTTGTGGTGGGCTCAAACCTGCTACACACTTTCTCTAGAAAAAGGCAGTTCAGGGTCGGATTGTCAGTCATTTTTTGTCTACTATATGGAAGAACTGAATTATCATTTAAAAAGTGCATCCTAGGAAGGCAGCCTATGCCAGCAGCACTAAATGGGGTAAAAGTAAATCGAAGTAACAAGCCTGGAATGAAGGAGCTGAGAGTTGATGAAGTGCAAGAAGCCACAGGCATATCAGTATGGCTGGTAAAGCAGCAAAAAGTGTGAGGAAAATAGAGATGGAGTTCCAGACTGACTTTCTCTTTAATTAAGTCATTAGCAGTCAACTGAGCCCGAACATCTAATGAAAATTCAGTAACAGACATTGCAGTGACAGCCCCAACTGCAGAACCAGAGGCAATAGTAGAAATGTTTTCTGGTAGAAATTGAAAAGAATTAAACAGTGTAACTATTTCTTCATTCTGAATGCCCTGATTTTTTCAAAGGATGCAATGCATACTCATTTCAGGGATGTAAAGGCAAGATCTTTCAACTACCTCTGCCTGACAACTTTAGCCTACAAAGGGCAAAGATGGGTTAGCCTTTCATACTGGTTAGAGCAGGGATTGTCAGCTGAGGGTAAGCGTATCCCCGGGGGTATTTGAGAAGGCCTTAGTGGGTATGTACAGGTAGGTGGGGATGGAGCGCCGCCATGCACCATCCTGTGCTGCTGCACAGACACTGCCTGTCTGGCTGGATGCGGGGGAAGCTTGCATGCGGTGGTTGCCACCACTCTGCATTCGACCATGTGCCACCACCCCTCCGTATCTGGCTGCCTGGGGTACACTGCTCTGCATCCGGCTCCCGGGGGTAGACTAATCCCAAAAGGTTGAAAACCCCTGAGTTAGAGTGACCATATGTCCAGATTGGCCAGTACTGTCCTGGATTTCTGAGGCTGGATCTGGCCATTCAGTGAAAATTAAAATGAGTGTCTTGGGTGTGGGGCCGGGAGGCAGAGCAGCAGGAGCTATGAAATAGGAAGCCCTAGCAGGCAGCAAAATTGCCAGGTAAGTTAGCTTGATTAGTGGAATGACAATTAAAAAGGGAATTGTCAACAGCTGTGAAGAAAAAAATGGGTCACTAATGGGCCACCGACTCATTAGCTGCTTGAATAATAATACCAGTGGTGCCCCACCCTGCTTTTGCCTGCAGCAGCAAAGGGGTGGGTGGGGGCAGCATCCCATATTTCCCATTGTCCCATATGGTCACCCTAATATTAGTTAGCTTGCAAATTTCCAGTGTGTTCTTACAAGACTTCTCTAATATTCATATACAATGTCTCCGGCCAGGACAATACTGTTTAAGGGTTGCTGGGTTAGGAATGGAAAAATTTACTCACTCAGAACTCTTATTGGAGATGCCTTTCTTGCTGCGCTTACAGCAGTGATGAATCGAGAGTAATTCATGTCTATGGGGCAAAGAGCAATTAATTTTAATTAAACTTAATTAACTGGCTAAAAAAGTGAAGTAACATGAAACATCGCTTTTTCAATCTGGCTAGGACACTGTATGGTAAACATGAAAAACACCCACCAGTGAGTAACTAATCTAAAATGCAATCTGTTTCTCCAGGCCACTTAGTTGGATAAAACATGGTATCAATTATAGTCAGATTTAACACAAACAAACTGAATGTTTTCCAGAATATTTCCAAACAGCTTCCTCCCACCCTTTTTCTTTAAAAGTTTAGATGAGTTTTTAGATGATTCTTATTTGGGGAAACCATTTACAAAACAACATGGAGTGGTCAGGGCTCTTTTGCAAGGACTCCAAAGCATGCTCTGGTTTGTTGTGGTAGTTAATCAGCATAAAGAGATACAAAAATGATCCATGTTCTTGGGGAACAATGACAATACTGACATAAAAAAGGCAACTGCAGAGTGGATCCCTCTTGGATTTTGTGGCTTTTGCAATACAGGGAGGGAGGGAAAAAATAAAAGTCAAGTGAAAATGGACAAAATGCAAACTCCAATAGAGAAAGAAATGTTTTATATTTCTAAGCATCCTGGACTAAAAGGAGGCCTCCTGGACTATTGCATTCAGTCCCTCATACTTGTAGGCAACTACTTGCTTGATGAGTCTGTAACAAGAGTGTCAAACATAACATCAGCTGCATAAGCCAGTCTAGTGGGCCAGGGAATTTGGGAGTATGGCTCCCAGTGGGCGTAGCCTGCATAGAATCTTGGCCCCTCATGGACATAGCCATCAGCCCTTGGTAGCCCTAAATGTAATTCAGGGAACTTTCGTCAGGCTACCATACACAAAATACGGAGAGAATTATATCTTATGTTGCAGAGGAAGGCACAAGACCCCATGGTCTTTGTCCATCTGAACTAGCATTCTTCACAACAGGGGAGAGGAAGCAAGAATAGAATATACTATTCCTCTCTTGGCGATATATTCTTTTGGGGTCAAATCTGGCGCACACTCATATAATCAGAGACTCCCATTGACTTCAGTGAGATTTGAATTAAGTCCTTGAGCTTTTTAGATTTATGTAAAACTCTCCTAGCCATTTATATTAATAATCTGGAGGTGTATGGAAGGACAAGGTATACTTACTGCTCCACTTACGTCACTTTCTCAACGTATTCCAAACAGCAAGAGTAACTCTAAAGCTTTTTTCTTCAATTCTAGAAGGGAAAGTTTTAAAGGCAGATTACGAGTTTAGAGGTGTGACAGATCTGAAACATTCATCAGTTCCTTTTAATGAGAATCCAGCTTTATTTCTTTAGCTGTATTAAGCATACTATTTAAAGTGCTTTAACTAATGCAAGTCATCACGATGTGTCACAACACGTGTCAGACTACAAAACAGATGTGGTTTCTAGAAACGGATTAAGAATGTCTTTCAAAATGTCTCACCCTGATTTTTCCTTCTGTCTTTTCCCTTAGTTCCACAATGACCCAGCTACTGATTTTGTTTTGTTTGTTTTTTAAGCTTCACTGGATGTCCTTACATTTGCTTGGTAAGGGAAGATGTGCCTGGCTTTAAAGAATAAAAGGAACTGAAGGTCATTTATTATGTTATAGCAATGAAAACACTCATCTACTGGGCAACTAAACTGGAAAAAAAATCTTGAAGTCTGGTTACTTTTATAGAATTCACAGAAAATAATTTTCTACCAACCGCACTTATATTCTTGTGCTCATATTTTATAAATTGCTAACGAGTGTGTAGCAAGTGGTATATCTTTAGCAAGCGTCTTTCTTTTGTAATGTTGTTTATATTAATTGAAAAAAAACAATTAAAAATATACTCTTTCATCTTTCTACTGCAGAGATCCTCCTGCAGTAGAAACCCCCTCACCAGATACCCTCTGTGCTTCTACAAAGCTAAGTTTTCCCTGTAGCAACAGACACAGTTTTTTTGTTATCTTCATCAGAATGAATTGAGTCTGCTGCTGCAGGGGATATATTGCCTACTATGTACCAGTCTAACCTTGCAGCTTGCTGTGCCCCAATCTGCCAGAAAGGGGAAGCGACTGGGTGTTCTGCTTTCTTTCCTCTTTCTGCCCCAGCTGGAGAGAGTTATTTGCTAGCCTTTCAATCTCAGAACTGCTTTTGCATTGTTTGCATTTATAGCCGAAGGCAAGGTAACGCACCTTGTAGACTAACCGAAGTAGGCGGACATCTTTCAAAAGCCTTTGCTCACTGTTTATCTACTTTGATTAGTCTGCAAGGTGCAAATTTACCCTGCCTTCCACTCAACTTCAGACTAACACACCTAACTACACCTCTCCGCATTTATAGCTGACAGTGAAGAAATAAGAGAAACAGGAAGAAAACATCAAAGCCAGAACCTGCAGCAGCTGCCATGCATTTTGAGAGAGCTCTGACTAATTACATTGCCAACTTTACTACCAACACTCCCCTACCCCCCAGCTCCCTGCCACCCACCCCAAGCCCCTCCTGCAAAATGCTGTTTAGATGATGTTGGGATGCTAAACCTGTCAGCAATTCATCTACCTGCATGTTTGGTATCAAAAGCCTTACGGCACTCAGGTGTACTTAACTCTATTAGTCTGAAGTCAAGGGAAAGGTGGCATAGATCTGCACCTCTGGTTCATTGTAACAGAGATATCAACCTGACCCTACAGGGCCCTGCTGCAAGTTCAGATTATAGCAGGTTTCTATCCAGCTTCAGAGTTGTGACACATATTCAAGTGCTAACTTCACAGCTACTTGTTCTTTTTATAGCTGGACTGTCATTTTTCTGGTGTGATCATTACGTTGCATGTGTGGGTGGTCAAACTTTATTGCGCTATTCACTAGTTAACTGCGTAATATACCCAGCACCTAGCAGGGGCCGTGGGCTGGCCGTGGACATGGCTGGCTGGGCCAGTCTGTGGGCACGGGTGGACTAGCACTGTAAAGTGTGCCTGGTGGGGGGCCCAGCCTGACCCCTGCATGAGGAGGCACGTGCCAGGCCTGCTCTGCAGCAAGCCCCTGCCAGACGCGCTCCCTTAGGTGCTGGCTCGGGGGCAGGCCCAGCTTTGGTCCCCACATTCGTGTGCAGCCAGCCCCGGGCACGGGCAGCTGGCATGGAGCACGTGCTGCATGTAGGGCAGGGGCTGGGGCCCCAGGGCTCCCAGGCTGTGCGCCCAGCAGCCCGGGCGCGCGGGGTGCAGCCCCCACCCTCAGGGGGCAACGCGGCGGCCACGGGGGTGGGGCGGGGGCTGCACTGACGTCACCACCCCCACCAGGCACCTGCTGCTCGGACCCCAACGCTCCCCCCGCCCTGCGCGGTGTCACGGGCGTGTGCGCATGCGCCTCCCCACAAGGGCTCGGCTGCCCCTCACAACCGCATTAACCCTTTACGTCTCGCGGGCACGGGTCCGCGGCCAGGCGCGCACTGACCTGCGGACCCGCCGCGCCCAGTGTACAGCTCCGCTCCGGGCACGGGCAGCAGCCCCGGCGAGCTACCCTTCCTACGCCCAGTGCGGCCCAATCGCCTCGCCCCGCCCCGGCGACTGGCTGAGGCGGCGCGGGAGGAGGGCGGTTGGTGACTGTGCGGTAGGTTGCGTCAGCGCGCCACGCACCCGCCGCTTCGTGAAAGGAACGTCACAGAGCGGGCCGCTCCGCCGACATCATCAGCGCCCCGTGTTAGTTAAGGGGCAAAGTCTTCTTGCCAAAAGGCAACTGCCCCGGCATCCCCGAGCTGCCAGACCCGGCCAGGGCCAGGCCGTGGGGTTTTGAGAGCCCTGGACTGAGGAGAGCACACGTGCACAGGATGGCGTTGGACAGTGGGGACCGTGCGGGAGCGCGCACACACACACCGGGGATGGTGTTACATACAAACACAGAAGGGGGATGGTGTTACACACAGAGGAATGATACTTGACAGGAACAGTGTGTATGGTGTTGCGCGCGCGCACACACACACACACACTGGGATGGTGTTAGGGGCAGTGCAGAAGCACACATGGTGTGGTGCACACACATGCACAGGATGGGGCTGGTGTTATACACAGACACACACACTGGGGATGGAGTTTAACACTGGATGGCATTGCATACACACACAGTGGGGATTTTGTTTGACAGTGGGGATGCTGTTACGCACTGAGGATGGTGTTCGACACGGGACGGTGTAGAAGCACATGCACACATACTAGGGATGATGTTATAAGCACAGAATGGGCCTGGTGTTAGACACATACACACGCACAATAGGGATAGTGTCACACACACAGTGGGGATGGTGTTACACATATGCATGTGGTGGGTGTCACAACCCAAAGTTGTGGTTTTTTGTTTTTGTGTGCTCCGGCACCGCTAAATTATGTTCCCGCTAAAATTACAGCTTCTTTGCACGGTGGAGTTTTCTGCTGCAATAGAAGAACCCGCGTGCAGAAGAGTATTTCCTGCCGTCTGTAGCCTTCTTTGCATAGTGCATTTCTTTTGCATCATAGTGATGTACGGTTCAAAGGAGTTCCCGCCATTTGTATTTAGATTCGTGCCACATTATTGGCCAGTTCTAAATGTAGGCATACGTGGCGGCTAGCTATTGGCTTGCTAGCCGTACAAAAGGCTTGGGTAGTTTCCGCCGAAGTTGGAGAGAGAGGAAACCGGGAGAGATACAGAACTCACCAGGAGGAGGAAACTTCGCTCTGTGTGAAGATCTCCAAGCGATGTGGACCCTTGCGGACCCAACGCACCTTTCTTAAGCAGGCAACGGAGGTCTGTTTAGCTTCTGGCCTCTCCCCGTCACCGAGCGCAATCCTAGACGTATCCCTATCCTATATACCCAATTGTCGAACCCAAGGAGTCTTAACAGCTCCGGGGGACCTGGGAACCGAACAGAACCCACCTCCGGGGTCAAAGAAATCTGCGCCTGGAAAGCTGTCCAGCCTACACCGCGACCACCTTGGGTGTAAGTAAATAATCTTTTCAATCAACCATTACGCCTCCGTAACTGATTCTAGCTCGTGCGTACCTTACCGCCCCGCGGTTTTCTCCGGCCCCATGTGCCCGGGCTGCTGGCCACAGTCCGTGTGCGCAAAGACGGACCCGGCTCGCACATGGCGAGGATGGGATCGGGAGCCGGCCCACACATGGTGACGAGGATGGGACCAGAATAAAACTGAATGGGATCAAAAGGAGACACACTAGAGCTAGAATTGGTTAAGAACTCCCTTGACGCGATAACCAATGCCAAGTGAGAAACTTTGAGGAGCTGGAAGCGCATATCGCTTACCACCAGGCGGGCGGAACGGGTGAAAGATTTGTCAGCGGACGCCTTTCGCTGAAGGGAGAAGAGGGAGTCTCCGAAGACGGAGCCCCGAGAGAAAGGGAAGTGTATTTGCTCCCCGCGGC